TCCAGGAGTGACCCCTCAGATACCCTGAAATTTTTAGACCTCTAGCTCATCTCTTTTCTCTTACACGGACGACGGACGGACGGACGGACGGACGGACACGAGAGCGGTTGCATAAGCCCGCTTTAATGCTTTTTTAAAAGCAGAAGGGCGGGGCTAAAAACACACTATAGAGCTTAAAATTTGGGTTCTTTCTTATTTATATTTACCTTTAAGGCTTTCAGCTGCTTTTGGTCTGCCATTTGTTTGGCTTTCGCGATTAGCCACGTACACTTCCCATTGCGTATGTCCGTGCCTTGCTTGCCGGTCCGTTTTGATGATCCATAGCAGTCAAGGAAGTCATCCTGCAAAAAATGGGGTGCTTGAGCCAGGATCTAAAACGGAAGTGAAAACGAACAAACTCCCTGCACTCTCATCGAGTCACTAATCTTTTGCCACCCTTTCACAGAACTTGTTATGTTTTTATGCTGCAGGAGTACTGACTATAGTCTTCTATCAGTAATACTCATTAATTCCTTTTGACATCACTGATGATTTGATTTTTTTTATAAGGAGATGCTGAACGAAACTATATGGAATAATTGACAAATTGATCAATTATTCCTGCTGTAGAGAATTCTAACGTTTTAACTGACAAAAAATCAGTACAGGTAAGAGTGTGATTATTTACCTGTTTTCGTCCATTCAGTACCATGGTAGGGTAGGTTATTGGACAGGGTACAGTTATCGAACACTTTGCATTCGGAGCGCAGTAGCCTCACGCAGATCGTAAACCCAAGTAACAGAGATTCGTCTGAAACACGTCAATTTAAAGTATACTGACGTCAGGACCATTTCGTCACGTTGACGTGTTTAAAATCGCCATATTTGACGTAATTTTGACGTCAAAGTGACGTAATCTTGACTCTCAACAGTCACGTTTATGTCACTGATGACCTAAAAGTGTCAATATTACGTCACTTTGACGTCAAAATTACGTCAAATATCGCGATTTTAAACACGTCAACGTGACGAAATGGTCCTGACGTCAGTATACTTTAACTTGACGTGTTTCAGACGAATCTCTGTTACTTGGGCAGCAGCGAGCGACGCGGACGTCTGCTAGGCCCATTGCCAGAAAAGCAAATTTCTTGGGTTGATGAAGTGTTATAACCGAAACCACGGAAGAACGCCGAAACTCGCACGTTTTCAGCCTTTGAAATCAGAAAACTGTAAGTGTCTAATAACAGCGACATTCTGTCAGTTGACTGCCTCAAGGCATCCAATAACTGTGCTTCTCGACCTCTGACTTTGAACGGACAGAAAGGGCATTAGGCGTTGAACTTTTCGGTAACCTTCTACGGTAACCTTTAGTACAAACCTTGAATTATCACATGAAACCGTAGGCAAGGCTCATCTTCAATCGATGGACGGACAGCGCTGGGTCAAACGAAAACCTGCGCTTCCCTGTCCAATAGCTGTACCATCCTAGTTTGGTCCG